GAAGGGGGTTGGAGGGGGTGGCTTCTCCGCTCCAGCTCGGGCCAAAAGCGGGGCGCTTCCCTCCACCCCCCACCCCCCTTTCAGATCCCCACAATATGGTCATTGTCCGGCGGTGAATAACGTGGCCACTCCGGCGATGTGGGCCGCTTCTCGGGCTTTGACTATGAACCAGATTTCTTTCTTCAGCGTGAAAGAAGTCTAATCCATGTAAATATGGGGATTCTGTAGATAGAGCTTTCGCCGCAGAGGGGAGGAGGAGGAGGAGGAGGAGGGGGGGGGTTGAGAGGGAGGGTCAGCAATTTAACCTTTGACCTGACAAATAAGGAGCATGAAAGTTCCAGAATTGGCAGACAAAAAGAGGCTCCCGCGGCTGATTGAGTCTTCTTTGTGCCGCTCGGCTGTATGAGGATGACTGACAGATGACATGTTGGGAAGACGAAGACATGCATGACTGCTGAGCGCATCACTGTACATGCAGCACAGAGAGGTGAGGAAACTGCTGATGCGGTTTGTTTTTCTCTCGGCTTTAAAGCATTTGATCAAACTTAAAGCGCACAGACGATCTGGCCAAAGTCAAACTATGAACTCAAGAGTCTGTTTTCCCCCAATGCGTGTATCTTGCACACTTAAAACAGTTTTAGTGTTTTTTGAATATAACGTTCCAGAAACCCTCACAAACACACAACACCCAAATGTCACTTGTAAAACATCAAGGGAGTCATTACTTAGCTGGTAAAGACACAAAACACTGCCTTTAGCCCAGACGTGTGATATTGCTACATTTACAATGGTGCATGGAGGAAAACGCCCCCTTTTGCTTTTGAATTTGTTTTAGGTATGTACAGTGTGCAAAATTACAAAAAAAAGAGAAGATTTTAATGGCTAAAATTTTAATAATTTTAATAAAAATAATTAATAAATATATTTAAAATGTAAAAATATATGTAAATATAATATAAATGCATGGATGACCCCCCCCCCTCATTTTTTCTATACATTTTCCTTTGTATTTGTACATTATGCAAAACTACAAATAAATAAATAAAAATGAATAGCTAAAGCAAAGTATTTAAATAAATGCATGGAGAAATATATGTACATTATGTACAACTAATATATATATATATATATATATATATATATATATATATATATATATATATGCAAATGTACAAAAAATTATAACTAAAACAAAATATAAATTATATATATTTGAGTATAGTGAAATTAAAATAGGCATAGTTTTACCAATCTCAGTATGTTAGAATCAAAATTACACAGTTGGTCAATTCTGCTAATTTCTGGTTCGTTTTCACCTTAGTGTTGTTATTATTATTATTATTATCATTAATAATTTAAAGGCTTTTTTTTTTAAAGATAAAATTCTTTCACAAAACTTCTGCAAAACTCAAAAGAAGATATTTTGAAAAACGTTGGTGTCCAAAAAACACTGGACCACCTAGTGACTTTCATTGTTGAGCAAATTTGTTCTTCAAAATATCTTGTTTTGTATTTTCCACAGTAGAAATAAAGTTTGTAACCGCAGGTGGGTCAGAAAACAATGACAGAATTGAAATTTTTGAATGAACAGTGCCTTTAAAATGGGCAGGTAATATGGCTGCAAACACCCAGGTAGCTGTTCATTGAATCTCTCACTAAAACCAGTGTGTGTGTGTCATAGTGACCCCACCTTATCCAGACCTGTTCCTTTCATGACTTCCTTCCTGCTTTTAGGGTTTTATCGTTTCCTCTAGGAGAAGATAGTTTAAGAGGGCTGTCTGATCGGTTCTTGTGCGATGCATGTACTAGATCAATCAATTAGGGTTTGTTCTAATGTACTTTAAATATAGACATGTATCTGATGGTGTCTGAATGCCATGTTGCGATTGATAACGCATCATTGCAAGCTTGTAATGTAACTTTGCTGGACAAAACGCAGAGCTAAGAGTGTGTGTTTGTGAGCGCCTTGATTGGCTTGTATGTTTTCTTTTCCTTTCATGTGTTTTTAGTCTCCAGTGCTTTGTTCCTTTTATAATTACAGCAGTGTTCTCCTCGGAGAGCTCTGGTTGCCGCGGTGAGGAGCACACACACATAAGCACACACTCCCCTCTCTCTTGCAAATACCCATTAATGTGTAGAGCGAAAGCTGTCTGTTTATACCTTATATACAGGGCCACAATTAAAACCGAGCAAGATCAAAAAGATATTGAAGTTTTCTTTTGGGAGGATATAGTTCAAAAATGCAGATTTAGATATCGATGGCAAGACTTTTTTTAATCATTAGGGAGACGATGATACCTCAGCAATTCAGTGTGCACACACTCATACAGCCCCTCTTCAAAGAATTGTGTTGAAGATGTATGTAATTTTTGGCGCCGATTGAGTTGCAAAAATAATGGCTATTTTCAGACAGGTTTCCATCGAACATGCCATTGGTTGAGGCAGTTCGCTGTGTCAAGATGTACAAACAAACAGAGCAACGTTTCTGAGAAATCAATCTAAGCACTTGTTTATAGTTGTTTCAGCATAATGAATCTGGGAAACTTTGATGAAATTGCACACTCCAGCTTTAAAGACGAACGAGGACATAGTAATGAAGGCCATGATCTGCAGACTTTTTGTGGTGATTTTAAGGGATAATCTCCAGAATGGATAGTATTGAACCTGAAGGCAGGATGCTACAGGCAAAAATTCAGTTTTTTCATGCAGTCGTCAGTTTTGTGATTTTAGGCTATTTTGCCTTTCATAAAGTGTTGTTTCAAACTAGTGGAAATTTTTTTTTAAGCTTTAAAGACGAACGAGGACATAGTAATGAAGGCCATGATCTGCAGACTTTTTGTGGTGATTTTAAGGGATAATCTCCAGAATGGATAGTATTGAACCTGAAGGCAGGATGCTACAGGCAAAAATTCAGTTTTTTCATGCAGTCGTCAGTTTTGTGATTTTTGGCTATTTTGCCTTTCATAAAGTGTTGTTTCAAACTAGTGGAAAAATGTTTTTATCCAAAATACACATTTAAGTTTTTATTTTATTTCACTTGATCTCTTTGCATCTTTAGATTTTGATTACAATATGCACTGAACAAAATTATAAACGCAACACTTTTGTTTTTGCCCCCATTTTTCATGAGCTGAACTCAAAGATCTAAGACACAAAAGGTCTATTTCTCTCAAATATTGTTCACAGATCTGTCTAAATCTGTGTTAGTGAGCACTTCTCCTTTGCCGAGATAATCCATCCACCTCACAGGTGTGGCATATCAAGATGCTGATTAGACAGCATGATTATTGCACAGGTGTGCCTTAGGCTGGCCACAATAAAAGGCCACTCTAAAATGTGCAGTTTTACTGTATTGGGGG